GGGGGGGGGGGGGGGGTAAAATGGCCCCGGCGTCGACACGAAATCTACTTCGTCGGCAAATCTCGGCGACAAAAGGTGGGCCGAATCGAGTTCGTGGGAAGATGAACAATTTGAATGGGCAACTGGCTCAACTCTCTGTTCCCCGTTCCTTCTGGTTTCGGCGAAAAATCGGGGGGATTCTAGTTTTTTCGGCTGTGACACTGGGAAATGAAAACACTCGATGAAATCAAATGTGACGGCGGAATAAATTGCTCTCGTTTTATTGCACGCGACGGTGGCGGCTTTGTTAATTTTTTTGGGGATTTTTTTGTTGCAGGTCAAGTGGATTTCTGGACCCAGAGCGAGACCGGATGCACCTGCAGCTTTAATTCATCGAGCAAGGATTGCGCTTGTTGTGTATTAACGGGGGGGTGCAGTTGTGGGGCTGCCATGCCAAAGCGCTGTGGCCAGTGCGGTTTGGAGAAGTACTGCACAAACAGTGAGTACCTGTTGTTTTTGGGATTTATTCGTTTGAGAATATTAAAGTGGTTCTACGTTGTTTTTTGTTTCCGTACAATTTTGGTAAAACTAGGATCTTTAAGGGGTCGTAATCAGTCTTAACAAGGAGATCACATCTCTATAAAATGTTTTAGGCTCGATTGTTTGATTATAAATTATTGAATTACGATCATTTTCATATAATTAAAACGTTTTTATTGTAATAACTTGTTGATTGTGATAATTATTTTCAAATCTCACACTAAAAGTTGTATTTTTTGTTGATAAATTTGAATTTATTTATAAAATTGCCTGACTCGCACGGGAATTTCCACTGTCTCATCCTCTTAACTAAATGATCACATTAGTAGACTCAACCTGAGGTTTTAAGACTCGAATTAACATTTAATTCAACAATTCAATTATGACATCCTCAACTATGAGAAAACATATCTTTAGAACACTCAAGATCTCGCTCCAAAACACAAATAATCGAATGACCTTAATCATGAATTCTTAAATTATGAACAATTTCACATAATTAAAAACTTTTCATTATACCAACTATAATTATTTAAAAATCTCAAACAAAAAATTGTATTTTTTCAGAATGTCATCAGAAATATTAGAATATATCAGAAATCTATTAATTCATGAAATTGTCTGACTCTCACGGAGATTTCCACTGTCTCATCTCCTCGACCCAATTATCCCTTTAATTGCATCACCTTGAGGTTTTCAAACTCGAATTAACATTTAATTCAACAGTTCGATAATGACATCCCCAACAATGAGATCGCACCTCCCTAAATCACTCAAGAGCTCTGCGTTGTCCTCAGAGAGAACTGCCACTGAAGTCTTAAATTATGAACAATTTCACATAATTAAAAACTTTTCATTACACCAACTATAATTATTTTCAAATCTCAAACAAAAAATTGTATTTTTTCAGAATGTCATCAGAAATATAAAAAAATATCAAAAATATATTAATTCATAAAATTGTCTGACTCTCACGGAAATTTCCACTGTCTCATCTCCTCGACGCAATTATCACTTTAATAGACTCACCCTGAGGTTTTCAAACTCGAATTAACATTTAAATCACCAATTCAATTATGACCTCCTCAACTATGAGAAAATACATCTCTAGAACACTCAAGATCTAGCTTCATAACACAAACAACCGAATAAATTGAATCATGAATTGAATTATAAACATTTTCACATAATTAAAAAGTTTTCATAATACCAACTATAATTATTTTCAAATCTCAAACAAAAAATTGTATTTTTTCAGAATGTCATCAGAAATATTAGAATATATCAGAAATATATTAATTCATGAAATTGTCTGACTCTCACGGAGATTTCCACTGTCTCATCTCCTCGAGCCAATCATCCCTTTAATTGCATCACCTTGAGGTTTTCAAACTCGAATTAACATTTAATTCAACAGTTCGATAATGACATCCCCAACAATGAGATCGCACCTCCCTAAATCACTCAAGAGCTCTGCGTTGTCCTCAGAGAGAACTGCCACTGAAGTCTTAAATTATGAACAATTTCACATAATTAAAAACTTTTCATTACACCAACTATAATTATTTTCAAATCTCAAACAAAAAATTGTATTTTTTCAGAATGTCATCAGAAATATAAAAAAATATCAAAAATATATTAATTCATAAAATTGTCTGACTCTCACGGAAATTTCCACTGTCTCATCTCCTCGACGCAATTATCACTTTAATAGACTCACCCTGAGGTTTTCAAACTCGAATTAACATTTAAATCACCAATTCAATTATGACCTCCTCAACTATGAGAAAATACATCTCTAGAACACTCAAGATCTAGCTTCATAACACAAACAACCGAATAAATTGAATCATGAATTGAATTATAAACATTTTCACATAATTAAAAAGTTTTCATAATACCAACTATAATTATTTTCAAATCTCAAACAAAAAATTGTATTTTTTCAGAATGTCATCAGAAATATTAGAATATATCAGAAATATATTAATTCATGAAATTGTCTGACTCTCACGGAGATTTCCACTGTCTCATCTCCTCGAGCCAATCATCCCTTTAATTGCATCACCTTGAGGTTTTCAAACTCGAATTAACATTTAATTCAACAGTTCGATAATGACATCCCCAACAATGAGATCGCACCTCTCTAAAACACTCAAGAGCTCTGCTTTGTCCTCAGAGAGAACTGCCACTGAAATACATGAAAACAAAAGTCCTCCCCCCCCCCTAAACTCATTGCGATATCGTATCCAGCGTCGTCTTATCTTTTGTCTCAGTCTTGAGCGCTCCTTTCTCCATAGTGATTCTAAACTGAGATACAAAAGTTGCCCGTCGCCGCTCTGGCACTTGGCTGAAGATCCTAGAACCCGTCTCTCTTATGCCTCCAGAACAGAAAAGCATTTTCCCCTCAAAGTTTGTCCTCCGAGAGTCACCAATCTCTCCTCCACGAGTTTATATACGTAATACGTACAGTTTTTCGAGACAAATGTGACACACGAGTTTATTTCACTGGTATTTTAGACGATTTTATTTACAAATCAACGACTCTGTTGTTTTCAGTGTGCAACATAACGCTGGATAGTAAGGAACTACTCAGCAAGTCGAATAGAGGTTTTGGACAGATAAAATCCCCATCGATAGAGGGACCCACTGAGTGCACGTATAAATTCATCCCGGATACAGGCCAGCGAGTTGAACTGCAGATTTATCGTCTTGTTTCTATTGGACGACATAATGGAAAAACGTAAGTTTTTTTTTCAGTCAATTTTTTAGAATTTCACATTTCTCTTCTCCTAAAAAATATTTCATTCTATTTATTTATTTATTCATTCATTTATTCATTTGTTTATTTATTTATTCATCGATGTTCATTCATTTATCTTAAATATTTTTCATCAAGACAGTCCCACTGAAAACTCAAATTGAATGGAGAATTCTCGTTCCCCCGTTGCTAAAAAACCCAGACTTCTATTGAATTTTCTGTCATTCACTCATTCACTTCCATCTCCCCAATTATTCATTCATCAATCGTTATTTCAATTAAGCATTTTTTTATTCAATTCAAGCAAAATAAAAATTAGTAAAACATCACAAAAAATGCCGTTGCAAAAACATTAAACAGTCGAATTGAAATAACCCTATCCGATGTTATGACCTGTATCCGGGATATGCATCCCAGATACAGGTCAGCGATTTTAACTGCAGATTTATCATCTTGTTTCTATTGGACGACATATTGGAGAAATGTAAGTGTTTTTTTTCAGTCAATTTTTTGGAATTTCACATTTCTCCTAAAAAAGACTTCATTCTATTTATTTATTTATTCATGCATGCATTTATTTATTTATTCATTTATTTATTTAGTTATTTATGTTCATCCATTCATCCTAAATATTTTTCATCAAGACAGTTCCACTGAAAATTCAAATTGAATGAAGAATTCTCGTTCCCCCGTTGCCAAAAAACCCAGACTTCTATTGAATTTTCTGTCATTCACTCATTCACTTCTATCTCCCCAATTATTCATTCATCAATCAATCATCAATTATTTCAATTAAGCATTTTTTCATTCAATTCAAGCAAAATCAAAATTAGTAAAACATTACAAAAAATCCCGTTGCAAAAATATTGAACAGCCGAATTGAAAGCACTTCGTGATGAATAAACAGCTGTCCTTTTTTTGTTCGATCATCATGATATCTCCCTGGTACCTGCATGTATTTATTTTTCATCCCCACATGATCAGATGGAGCATATCCACGCCTCCTGCACTCCCAAACACGCATGCATGAATCGTAAAAAAAGATATATGCGCGGGTAGATACCTCTAAATTCACAAAGACCTTTCCCAACATTTTTATGCTCTCAGAATGCGTAAAACTCGAGGGGAAAACATTTTGTACTCCAACATTGTGCTGTTCAATTTGAAAAATTCAGGATCAAGTGGTCGTCAAATATGAAACACATGTCAGTGAATAACAGCTTATAGAGATCATTCTATATTTCACCTCGATCCTCAATGCATTTGCAAACACGAAGTAAATTTCCATGCAATTTACATTGAAATCTACCTTTATCCGTTCAAAGGGAAATATCACACGGAATAATTTGTTCATTAAATAATTAATATCTCTCATTACATAATAGTAGAGTCGTTGATGTTGGAGTTTAATTAACATCACTTGTAGTTGTATTAATTAAACCCTAAATGGTTACATATCCAGATGAACATCTGCTTTTTACCCATTCGGTGAAGCTTTGTTTATTACATTCTGGGTTATAAATCATTTATTTCGGGTTAGAATGAAAATTTTGGGATGTCTGTAGTCAATTAATTAAATTATTCGGTTTCGTTTGGTTTCAGAGTAATTGAATAATTAGATAATCATTAAATTACACAAAATGTTCGAATGTCTGCTTTATTGAAAAACATTTCCAAAATGTTGAGCTTTAAACGAGGATTGCTTTCAACTCTCTTATTTTCAATCACCACATGGTGTCTCATAAACGAGATTAATTAATTCCAGACGACATTCTTTAATGCGGAATAAAGGAATGCCCTGATGAAGAGCACTTTGTGTGTTCGAAGTGTTGGCGAGAATAGAAAGAATTTGATTTCTTTTGATTTTTCATTTCTTAAACTGGAACATCATATGTGCCTCATCACGCACTAATTAACTTTAGGAGGCTGAAATAATGAAAATAAATAAGTCCGACGATTCTGCAGAAAGCCCTAATGCAGTTGGGATTTCATCACGAGGATAATGCCCCGTACGTATATTCGGCCTAATAAATAATGACCAGCTTCCCAGCCCATTGTGTTTCGTCCGTCCCACACCGGCTGCTCGTAAAATCGCCGTTGCCGTACGCGGACTCGCAGCTGTGGGCTGCATTATTTACCCGACGAAATTGTACTATGGAGAACCAAGTGAAAGCACTTCTCTCCTCTGCCTCCCCTCCCATCCACCCTTTCTCGACCCCACCGATGCCAGAAGGGCTTTCACCAGTTATCGCCTCTCCGCAATATCCCACTCTCTGCGATTAATTTCTTCGCGACATGCCAGCCATCCACTGCTTCATATCTCCAACACTGTACCACGGAACCTGAAGTGGAACCCATCAAAACCATTCTTCCAACTCACCAACACATGCACACAACGAGTGTTAAGTTGAAAATTGAATGAGAGTCTGGGCGAAACTTTCCAAATGAACTTTGTTGTTCTCGGCGATGTAAACAATTATGAATATAAATTTTGTACTCTGGTGGTTCATTGTTCATGCGGCAATCGAGTTATCTTTGAGCGACAATTCTCGGGAAAAGTTGGATTTTCAATTAAGCAAGTGGTCTCAGTGTCCCTTCATTGTTTATGCTCGTTATTTCCGGGGGGGATTGCGCCGATGGGAATGACAAATTATTGTGAATGAAAATGATAAATATTTTTCCTGATATTGAGATAATTCTTTTCTCATTAGAGATTAATTTTTTGTAGAATAAAAATTTGTAATATTTTGTAAATTTATGAGAAAAAAAGTGGTGCGACACTTTTTTCAAGAAATTTTAAATTTTTTGTTTAGGGGAAAATAAATTATAAAATTTTTTATTTTATTGGAAGATGAGAATACCCTGAAATTGAGCAGAATTTCCAATTAATTGAACATTTAAGGCTATATTTACCTGGATTTTTCCCATTTTTACTGATATTCATAAAATAATTGACCTGAAATTTACATTTCATTTGATTTTTTCATTAAATTCTGAGTTTTCAATGACGAAAATCTTTGAAATTTCAAAATTTTTGTTGAACTGTTTTTATCAATTGACAGTTCTACGGAAATTTGTCTCAATTCCATCTTGAAAAATTCAAAATTTCATGAAAAAATTAATGGCAACTTCATTTTTCTTCAATATTGCCTTAACGATTCCTCTGAAATTGACAGTATCAATTGATCTATCCCTAAAATTCTGAATTTTCAATTTTTCTTGATGAAAATTTCCATAAAAATCAACAGAAAACTTCCCCTCAAAATCTTCGACACTACAATTTTCTCCCCAAAGTGCAAGGAAACCAAAATTCATGGCATTACCTCGGAAGATTATTCCTCGTATCGTAACACTAAAACCATCAAGGGACAATATATTATCGGATTATCCAGAGGCGATACAAAGCACGTGCTGCGATAAACTTCTATCGTGTCGCCATTCACGTTCAACATCCACTAACATATTGTGGTTGAGGGTTGAAAATTGATGTGTTATGCCACTCGCCCGAATCTTCCGTGAAAATGATTATTCAATGTTGCAGTAATTTCCGTAGGACAGAATGGCATTATAATACATCACTCACGGCATCACTCCAAAATTGCCGAATAGAAACCAATAATTCCCCCGCGATTTCGGGATTAACGTGACTGTTAGACACAAGACATCCCCATCCAACTCTTATTTAAACTGTCAACTAGGTTGAGGATGTTCTGGCACGAAGTAACTGCCATAAATCAACGGGTATATACTATCGCTGAAACCACTAGCAGCGAGCCTTTTCGTAGCCATTCGACTTGGTGATATAGTTGTTCACCAGTTCCCTCAGCGACTCGATTATTTAACACTCTCGGCACCCTCTCGCCCGTTCTCATCCTGAGGTCCAACCCGTCACTGGCTTTTCTCATTTCTCCTTCCTCAGCAAATATCCTCGGAATGGTACTTCCGGGTCCCTCTAGTCACTATAATATTCTTTACGTGGTGATAACATCATTATTGATTCATCAATTCCAACTTGTGGAAAATCAATACACTAGAACGAGAAATTGACTGGATTGAAATTAAAGAATCAGTTGGTGTTTGAAAATTAAATGTCTAAAACACAAGCGGGTAGATGTGTTAAATGTCTGGACAGGAATTCATGTGTGGAATTTATAAATGAAATTTGTCTGGATATGAAATCATGTCTGAGCAGGCACTTATGTCTGGACAGGATTTCATGATTAGATATAAATTCTTATGGGGACATAAATTCATATATTCATAATTAAGAGATATGAATGCCTATGTAAACATGAATTCCTGTCTGAATAGTCATTTATATTCGAACAGGAATTCCTGTCTGGTCAAGAATTCATGTTCCGGCATAAATTGATGCTTGAACAACAATTTATATCTAAAAACAATTGCAGTGTGGGCAGGAATTTATGTCTGATGATGAATTCTTGTCTAGAGATAAATGCCCACTTAGATGAATGGAAATTGTGTCTGGACAAGAATTCATAATCAGACATGAATTTCCATAGGGACATAAATTCATATATTCATAATTCAAGATATATAAATACCTAGGTAGATATAAATTTCTGTCTGAATAAGCATTGAACAAGTATTATCTGGAGAGGAATTCATGCCTGATCATGAATTCTTGTCCAGAAATAAATTCACGTCCAGACATAAAATCCCGTCTAAATCTGAATTCATGTCTGATTACGTTAACCCAACTCAATAACACCTCATCCCCTACTCGCTGAAAATCCTCTGGGCTTTCTTATTATTCTCCTCCCCCTCCCCTCACCGCTCGCCCCTAATTTTCGCATAAATTAAACCTTGAATATGATCTCATCATAATGGAATACCCTTCACCAAGCATTGAACATCTCGCAGCATCTTCTACCTCCGATTTTAATGGTCCATTCGATTTTCCACTTGAGAGAGTGATCTTACCAATTATCGGCATTCAACCGAATAGATTGTGAGGTGATGCAAATTGCTATGAACGATCTTAGGTGCTTCTGGATTTCTCACTGAATTACTCGGCGATGTTGTTCGTATGGATTGAGGAGATGGTGGTCGACGGACACGGAAGGTGGTTCCTGTAGAATTGAATACTAATTCACAGTTATATATCACCAATTCCTATGGAATTCTCTCAGCTGCGGTAATTGCCACATTCCCCTGTGACAACTCGTGGAGCTAGATTACACTTGATGGTATTTGATGATCTGTGGAATCAACACCGAGGCTCTTCCACTTATCCTATGTCCAGATATTCATCATTTTATAATACGATGGGGGGGACTTTATCAAGTCAAATTTTAATGGGGGATCAGTGGTATGGCTGTACTACTCGTTACGATCTACATTCAACGCACAATCTTCAGCTCATCTTGGGTGGCGAAGGGGGAAAGGGGGGGGGGGATTTATCCGAGCCGGTACATCACGAGGGGGCAAAGACCAAGAGTCATTTCACCTCAAGTTCACGTTGCGTTACCGGGGGATAATTGAGGCATCAAACCATCAAGATAAGGTATTATGTCCATGATCTCGCTCCTGATGAGTTTTTAGGGCGCACTTCGGGGGATCGCTGAGGGAGGCTCAGGCTTGGGTGATTAATGGGAATAATTTAACGCTGATGGAGATAACATTCACAAATTTGGAATAACAGTCACGGAAATTTAGGGAATTCATTGAATTAAGTTGGGGATTATCTGTGAGTTTTTTCTTCTTAGAATGGGAAAAGAGGACACAATACTGCTTCACTGATTGAGTAAAGGTGTATAATGTTATAATTTAAAAGAATTTAGTTATTTAAAACTTAACATTTTGTTAGGGAAAAATCAATTGAAAATGTCAATTTAAAACTGTAAATCATCAACTGTAAATTTAAAATTTCGTTTTTTTCTAATGGTTCAGATAAATTATCTTTTCCAATCAAAAGTTTAAAAAAAAATTTGATTGAAACCTCTCAATTAATCTTTATCAAGACCTCTTAATTAGTATAAATAAAAAAATTTCGATTAATGTTCATCAAAGGATTAGAATTTTTTTCAGATAAATTTCATAAAAAACCTGTTCTTCAATTTTTCGAAAATAAATTCATCTAATCCCCTTGTTTTCCTCTCACAGTACTAAGACCTGGGTACAGAAATAAACCGACCGGGTGAATTGTCACCGCAAATTAGATTCGAAAGCGAAACACCGGGGGTGCGAGAGCTCCCCCAGAGCTCGACCACCGAACTCGCGCAATTAATTCAAAGCCTCTAGTCTGCGTCCCCGGCTAGGACAATAGGGGGGACATTGAGAACGGCGAGTCAAGTCGTGTCCGGTGAGAAGTTGCCTGGACACTGATAACAATGGGGAAACCACCGGCACTGAACTCCCATAAAACACGGAGATATGTCAATTAGATGTGTTTCAATTTATATTTAAATTTTTTGTTTTTTGCTTTCGAATGGAAGCTTTGTAATCATTCAAATTTAAGTTTTGCATTTTTTGATATTGTTGAGTCCTTCTTGAACTTGAATTAATCGCCATTAATTAAAGTTTAATTCATCGGTTAGTTTTTTTCAATTTTCGAATTTTCTCGAAAATCAGTTGTCCCACTATAACTAAAAAAATGTTCTGAATTGATTGAATGATGGCTTAAAAAGTCTGTTTGGATGTCTTTTTGATCGAGTCCGAAGATGAAGGCGATAGCAATAATCGTTATTTTGCTTTATTTCAAAATTTGCAAAAATTTTGAATTTTTTGAAAATCAGAATTCCGGGGAAATCTTTGAATATCAAGCTTCAGATGAATTCAATCACAGCTTAAAATGTTTGCTTTAATGCCATTAAGTTGAAGTTAAAAGATGATTACGATAGCTACATTGGTTGATTTTATTTTTATGATGATTGTTGAAAATTTCGAATTTTTCATGAATTTCCCTGATAGTGAGCTTTCTGATGGTTTCTTCAAATGTGGTGTTTCAAATTCATTCAAGTATGTGTAAATAAAATTTTTCCATTAACATTTTATCGAAGGGCTGAGGGGAGAGATGGAACCGTAAAAAAGACAATCGGTTGTATAGAAGAAAGGGATAATGAGAATAATGATGATGATAACATTCAACTAAGTTGAAAATCTGACAAAATTAGTTGAAAAGAAATCTTATTCAATTTAAGAAAATGAAATAAACAATGAATTATACATGATTGAAAGAAATTATGTGCAAAATAACCTTTCGGAAGCACATTGCTAATTTATTACGAAAAATAACTATATTATATGCAATGCAAGAGCAATTTCCCACTTGTTTTTTTTTCTCTGTTGCAGGTGCGAGGGGGGCTGGTTGCAGTTGGAGGGCGGCGCACGTGTTTGCGGACCCAATGCACGTTTCAATCGACCTGTTGTCCTTTTCTCAGACAAGCCCGAAGCAACACTACGAATGGTGTAAGTTTTATTCATTAATTTATTCTCATTTCGCCGGTTGAAAATAAAAATGGGGTAAAAATATTCACGGGGAAATTTTCTCTGTTGGACAATCAGGGGAGAGAGAGAGCTTTGAGACGAATCTAAATAACTGATTGGTACATATTGTCGGGTGGATGGCGGGGGCAAAGTTTTTTTCTGAGAGGAGATGGGGAAAAAAATGGAGGAGAATACGGAAACAGCGGGATGGTCCGTGCAAGCCTGAAGGCACACGAGGGACCTTATTTGTGTTATCCAATTGGCTCGTGGTTTAGTCATGTCGGAGGAATTTTCTTGGAGGTCATCAACCTCGTAATGCTTCGTTACGAGACTCATCAAATATTTATGAAAGGAAAATATCTGTATTTCTGGTCGTTCTTGCTTTGAGGGGGAATATCTTTGATCAAAGTCTTCGTGGGTCTCTTTCTGGCCTAGACAATTCGTACTCTTCGAGGAGTTGATGTCTAGCTTGAGCGTATGCCCGGGAATAATGAATTTAAATGGGTGTAATGAGTTGAAGCGTGTGAGTGATAGCAACTTCAGGGTAAATGTCATGCATGTTTGAGGATGACGTACCTCAATAATAATATTTCTCTCCATATCTCTCTCTTATCACGTTCGTTCACTGGGATATTTTTTTTATTTTAACGAAACTAGTCCGGCGAATGTTTTTATTGAGACAGCAATATCACGAAACTAATTTCGAAAAATATATGTATCTAAGAGAATAAAAATTAAAAAAAAAGAATCAAAATTGATATTGTAACTGAATAGTTGAAACGAAAAAAACAAGAATATTGAGCTCTTTCAAGTCTAGACAATTCACATTTTTTGAGGTGTGGAGTTCAAGCACGAGCTTATGTCTGGGAATAATTAATTTAAATGGCTGTAATGAGTTGAATCGTGTGAATGCCATCAACTTCACGATAAAATGGCAAATGTCAAATGTCATATGAATGTCATGTGAATGTTTGGGGATGAAATACCTCCTCGTGGGCACAAACTCTATCGCTTTGTGAAAATATCAGTATCAATACCGATATTACCCTTCATGCCTCCCTCTTATAACTTTCATTCGCTGAGATATTTTTTTTATTTTAACGAAACTAGTTCAGCAAATATTTTATTGAGACAGCAGTATCACGAAACCAATTTCGAAAAAAATATGTATCTGACAAATGAAAATTGATGTCGTAACAGAATAGTTGATACGAAAAAAACAAGAACATTGAGCTCTTTCTAGTCTAGAGAACTCATATTCTTCGAGGTATTGCCTGGGAATAATTAATTTGAATGGGTGTAATGAGTTGAATCATATGACTGCCATCAACTTCAGGATAAATGTCATATGAATGTTTGGGGATGACGTTTCTCCTCGTCATTCATTGGAATATATTTTTTCCATTTTTACAAAACTATTCCAGCAAATGGTTTTTATTGAGAAAGCAACATCCCAAAACCAATTTGAAAAAATATATACATCTAACAGAATGAAAATTCATGTTGTAACAGACACACTGAAACGAAAAAAACACGTCAACAACTGACCGTGATTGATAGTTCGAGGGTATCTGTAAGAGTGGAACTGGTGATTTGAAAAAAAAATGGATCGATTCGAGCCGGTTGGACTCGTAGGAAACTATCTCCGTTCATCTTCCTCACATTTCTTTTTCATTTTTCCACGTAGATATGGAGTGTATGGTAACTCACTGGAGTGTACTCCACTCGTAAATTGACGAGACGCACTCTCGTTGGTTGACGCTAACGTTTGCATTCTCAATTTCACGAACTCAGGGCCAAGTCAAACGAAAACGAATCAACTAGGCAGACGGTAAAAGTTTTCGATTTTTTTTTCCTCCAATTTTTTTTTAGACCTATCTATTTGGTAATGTAATATTACACGAGTTGAAATAGTAATTTCAATATTGAAACAAAATTTGATTCATTTGATTTTCATAGATTCAATAATTAAAAATTATCAAATTACTCAATTAAATTCGAGGAAAAGAAATAGAGAAAAGTCGCTCAATTCTTCCGATTTTTCATATATTTCCTAACTTTTAAAAATAGAGAATCTAATTAAACTTCAAGAATTTTAAATGCAAAGAATGATAATTTCTTAAAGTGGTTTCTTTGATTCGAAGGTTAAAAACTAATGAGAAAAAAATAATTGCTATCAAATAATGCAGTCCACATCACATTTGTTTCCATACAGAAAACAATTAGTGGATGAAAAAGAATAGTTTACCTAATGCATGAGTTATCAAGCAATGATAATAAAAATTCATGTAATAATTATGAATAAATGATAAAGAATATTTAAATTTTATTATCAAAGAGCGATAATAAAAACCCTCAGCTGTCAAAATAATGCCAAAATATCCAGAAAAATTGCAAGAAAAAAACTCTCCGAACTCCTGACATTCTCAAAAGAACACTTCAGTAGCGAAGCAGTAAAACCGTTTAGTCGACTCAATTTTCCGCTCAGTTTTTGAGGCATATCTCCGAATCTAAGGGAGATACCCAAATTTTTGTCATTACCTTTTTCGTAGCTTTGAATTCGCTCTCCAAAAAAGGTTATAACAAAAATTTTGCAATCTGCCTTAGATTCCGAGATATTCCTTGAAAACCAGCCAGGTTTTAGCGCTTCGGCACTGAATTATAGCAATGATCTTCCCTAAATAATCTCCACAAGTTTATTCACATTCCCCGAACCCACCGCCCCATGCCCACCTGGTGAAGAGCGACAAATTGAAACGAAAACGTACTCCGCGTCTGGCAGAATCCTCGGGGAATACGTGTGACACAGTGGGGTCGACGCTTGTCGACTGCCTGGAAAACGCGCCAGAAAATCACCCCGTCGGATATATCGGGCCGGGGGAGGGAAAAAGTTATATATGTGCTCCCGTCGCCAGAATGAAAGGTTTCGTGTGCAGCCATACGAGGCTGGTGGGAGTGGTGAATAAAAAAAAAAGTGGTAGGATGACACAAAAATTCTAGCGTTTCCGAAACTCGTAGAGTGTCGTACCCCCATGCAACGAGAGCGTTGCGCTGATTGGATGGATGCGGGTCCATGTCTGCAGCCCCCTCTCCCCATCCTCAGAGCGCACAAAGGAAGAATGGCATTTTCAAAATTCCAGACGTAAAAATTTCGCTGAAAGAAATTCCCGGCGCAGCGTAGAAAAGCAGAATAGAAATTTTTTCAGAGTAATTTTCACGGGTTAAACGCGAGGAAGTGAGAACGATCGGAGGGGGAAAACTGTAAGCGGTGGTATTTTCACCCTAGCCCCTAATTTGCCTTTATTGGGGGAAGGGAAAAAAAACAATTATACTGGTCTCCATAGTGCTAATGTTAACTGCTCGCATTAGCGGGGAGAAGCCAGCGGCGATGGTAAGACCGTTCGAAACTAAATGGAATCATTTCCTTCCCCTTTTTTGCTGCTTCTTTTATTTCTATTGCTCGAATTTTCCGACTTACCGCTTGGGTAAATCGATGCTGATATTGAGGACTTTCCTCGTGGTTTCGTTTACCAGTTGGGGGAGAGGAGCGCTGAAATCTGGACGAAACGCGAAATGTTACGGACATTTTACCTCGGAGCTTCATTTTTATAAAATGAAACAAAGCATTTTTCGACCATTATGTTCATATTCTGTATTATCCCCGGGCTATTTATTCGGTGAATCTGTTGTTTTTAAGGTGTAAATTACATTGAAAGAGGAATACTACATGCTGTCCTTCGCGAAACAATAAAATAATTATTCATGCACAAATTAAATCATTCACTTCATTTTTCATTTCATTTCATTTTTTTTTTTTATTATTATTAAGGTTAGAATGTATTGAGGAAGTATTTGGGAAGGAACCAAATAAATAATTATGTGAGTTAATTTAATATTCAATAAATCGTGTTTCGTAATTTTTAGTATTTCACGATAGTTTTTTCTAATAACGTTGATGATTATTTTTATCGAATTTCCTGGACTGTTAAGAATTTTTGGCTGAATTCTCTGGTACACTTTTTGGAAATTCTTATCACAGGATAGTTCCACTGAAATTTCAAGGAATTTCGTCGCTTAAAATTCACAATCTTTTGAATTTTACTTCAATCTATGTTATATATTCTTGAATTTCAATCAAATTTTCAATTCAGCTTAATTTGATACTGATTATTCAGGTTTTCTTTATTGAAGATTCAAGTGAGTTGGAGAATTTTCGTCTTTCTGCTCCTCAAAAATGGGGAATTTCATGGAATTTTTAGGGAAATCCGAAATTTTACGATTTTTCCTCCTCAATCGAATTTAATGTCAGTCTCCCGGAAATTACCAGTCAACTGTCCTTGGAATTTCACTCTTTTTTCAACAGTGTGGAATAATCAAAACTTTACAGAGATTTTGAGGGGAAAAATGAGAAAATTCCCTATTTTTCCAGCAGCAGAAATCTCCAATTTACTTGATTTTTCACTTGAAACATGAATATTCAGTAGCAAACACCAGTGAATTTTCCACTAATTGGGGATTCGAGTAAATATTCACCTGAAGTTTCGTGCTTTGAAAAATTAACCTGAAATTCCCAGTTTTCATTCATGTTTTCATAAAATTGTGAATTTTTCGTCAATTATCACTTGATAAATATTTTCAAGAAACGGGAAATCAATAGATGAATAATTTTTTATCCCCGGATGAAAATGAAAGGCTTTCCATTTCACATAACACAAATCTCCTCAAAAATCCTCCCGATTTGTAATTTTCAATGCTCTCTGAACAATGAAACAAATCTCAACGACTCCAAATAAAGCGATTTTACATCCCATTATCAACCAAAAATTCTCCATCCAGCGAAAATTAAAAGCGTAAAAAGTAAACGAGCATGTTGATGGGTTCGTGATGATAGAAGTTTTAATTGCGCGCTTGAAATTTTATCCTCTCCCCGTTAAAAATTCAAGTATCATTACAATTATTACTGCCTCCATGACATATCGGAA